GGACACACTATGCTTCCGGCTTGAGGAAGCATAGCCCCATCTTTATTTTTGCCTTGTTTTGTTTTGTTTTGTTTTGGTTTGGGTTTTTGAGACAGGGTTTCTCTGTGTAGTCCTGGCTGTCCTGGAACTCACTCTGTAGACCAGGCTGGCCTTGAATTCAGAAATCCGCCTGCCTCTGCCTCCCAAGTGCTGGGATTAAAGGCGTGCACCACTATTACCCGGCTTATTTAACTACTTAGCTTGCTGTCATCCTACACCAGTGGCACGGAACAATCACAGCCGTCCCCAGACAGCTGCTGTGATTTGAATAACTAGGCAGGCGGATGGATATCCGGGGGACTGATTTGCCTGGTAAACAGTCCCTAGAGTCCTTCGCCCTTCCAGGCCTGGACCATGTGTCTTTTTTAATCTCCGTCCCCAGGAGCAGCCTAGGCTCTTCTCTCACTGAAGCCTCCCTGAGGGGGTGAGTTCTCCAGTGTCTCGATGCCCAGAAGATGGCAGAGTTGCCTGGGAGCCTAGCCAAGAGAAGAAGCCATGATGGCAGGCCCCAGCAGAGGTAACCAGAGCCAGCTAAGGCAAGTCCTCAGGCTTGTCTCAAAATTTGCATGAAGAGAATGAGGCTTCCGAGGGGCTCCTGATTTCACCTAGTTCTGGGGCTGAGGTAGCAGACAGAGGAGGCAGCTCTGTCAAGAGCCATCTCACCGTCCTGAAAGCAATGCCCAGGGTCTTTCTTGTGAGGAGTCGGCGCCCACAGCCACCTAACTGGAGCCACCTTCCTGACCAGCTGCGGGGAGATGCCTATGTCCCAGGTATGCACCTATCTGGGCCTGGAGGTGAAGGGCTTGGGAGGCATAGGGCATCACCATCTGGCTTCTCTTCCCAGACTGCAGCAGCCTGGCAGTGCCACCAGCACACAGATCTCCTGGTCTGAGAGACACCTGGGCAGTGGTGAGTCTGCAGCTGAGACAGGGATGGCTTTCCACTTGTGCACAGGGAGCTGGCTGCCCTTACTCCAGATCCTCTGCGCATGCTCTCCAGCCCAGTGCTGTTCTTCACTTGGGGTGCCGCATCCTTCCCAGCAGCCGGCTCATTCCAGTCTGTTAGTTAAGACCCCTATTCCTAGGGTAGGTGGGCAGCTGTAAGGCCCTGCTCCAGGGATCTGTGTCCATCCAGTGGATGCAAACAAGATTCCAAACACTAAGTAGAAAGATAAACGGACAGGGGTGGGGGTGCTGGTACCTTAGCCTCCCAGGAGTGGGTTAACTGCTGGCTTTGGAAGGAAGGACAATACTAGTCAGAATTCAGTGTATGAGGTCGCTTCTGTATCTGAGAGGAAGGCACTGACTAGGTGTTGACTGTTTGGCAGGAGGGACAAAACTCTACTTCCTCACAGAGCTTCTTTCCTGTGAGAGCTGGAGGCAGACAGTCAAACTAGGAAAGCTCATATTAGCCAAGTGTGTTTAGGCACGGAGGGCCACGTCGGTCAGAGTGATGGATGTGGCTAGGGAAGGTCTTGGGGAGAGGGTTGCAGCTGTCCCCACTACTCACAGACCCTCTTCTAGCCGCCCTTCAACCTGGGCACACCACAGACTGTCCGCAGAGTAGCAAAGACTGAACAAGATCCAGCTGGCCATGCTAACCACTACACCCTCTGGCAGTCCTCACAGGGGATGCTGACCTCTGCTCCCAAGGGCACTGGGACACTTGGCTGCCCCCTCTGCCCCAAGGCCTTCCCGCTGCAACGCATGCTGACTCGGCACCTCAAATGCCACAGCCCGGCGAGGCGCCACGTGTGCCACTATTGCGGCAAAGGCTTTCACGACGCCTTCGATCTCAAGCGCCACATGAGGACTCACACTGGTGAGCAACAGCAGGGACAAAGATGGTCTTCTGGACGCTAGACAGCAATGGTGATGGAGTGACAGAGGCAGACGCCTGGGCTGTTGGGGTTTCTAGGGATTGGGGATATACAACAGGGACACAGGTAACAAGAGACACCGTGTTCCTCACAGGAGGTGAGTATAAGATGGTACCAAGGAAGAGGCCTGGCAAGGGTCAGGATGGGTGCTGGCTACAGAACTCAGGTTCGGGGCCAGGCAAGTGGGTAAGGCCATTGCTGACAAGTCTGATAACCGAGCTACATCCTCAGGCTCCAGGTGGTGTAAAGAACAGACTCCTGCAAATCATATTCCGACCCCTCCCACTTGCACCACAGCATCTGTGCAGGCACACATGCATGAGCAGACACACGCATACACGCTACAAATAAGCTAGGCTTGTGGCACACACCTTTAATCCCAGCACTTGGGAAGCAGGGGAAGGCAGATCTCTGAGTTCCAGGCCAGCTAGGGCTACACTGTGAGACCTTGTCTCAAAATAAATCCATACGGTCTATTTCCAGGCTCCAGATTCAGAGCCGTCAGGGGAACTCTCCATGCTGATAAGGGTCCCTCCCTCTCTCAGAATGACACTTCCTGTTGCGGAATAGAGGGGACACACACGGTCTGGCTCCTGTTGCCTTAAGCAGGGGTAGCAGATGGCTAGTGGGCCACAAACCTAAGTGTCTGCTTAGCTAGGAGTAAAGGTAGAAAATGCAAGGTGGGAAGCCCATACCCCGAGGCCACTGCCCTCTCTGCTTATCTCGACAGGAATACGGCCATTCCGGTGCGGAGCTTGTGGAAAAGCTTTCACACAGCGCTGCTCCCTTGAAGCTCACCTTGCCAAGGTGCACGGGCAGCCAGCCAGCTACGCCTACCGGGAGCGCAGGGAGAAGCTGCACGTATGTGAAGACTGCGGTTTCACCAGCTCTCGGCCCGAGGCTTATGCACAGCACCGCACCCTACACCGCACAACCTGATATACTCGCTGCTGCTTCCTATCCACGAGACAAATAAACGCGGGAAACACTCGTGTAGAAACTGGCATTTATTATAGGTGGAGGGATGGAAGGGTCACTCGGTCCAGCGGTGGCCGCAGTGTGGGGCAGTGCACACATAGTACAGGCGCATGGCATCCTAGCAATGAGAACGTTCAGTCAGGGTCTGGACCCAGGGAATAGTGTGAGGACCAAAAGAACGATCGAGGAAAACAGGATCAACCCAAAACTGGTGTCCCCACCCCCCGGGGGAAGCACCCAGCCACCAAGGAAGAGATTAGCCACTCACCTCAGCTCTGGCACTGTGTGACTGGAAGAACACTGCCTCCTTGTGGCCACACCTGAGGGAAGTGTTCACTTACTGAAATGTGAAAGACCCCTCTGTGGACAACCACTCCTCTTTCCCTATGCTAGCCGCGTACTCACTTCTGGCACGGGTGGTCCTCGGTCCGGGGCAACGTAGGGTCCTGAGACACGTCTGCGATGATCTGGGTCAGCTCGCTGAAGGGATGGGGAAGTAATTACGGTCAGACTGGGGGTCTGAAGAGGTTATCCATATACCCCCAAGCCAGGGTCCCGCCACTCACTCCACTTCGTGCGTGATTTTGTTCACATAGATGCAGCTGTTGTCGGCTTCCTGCTGGTAATCGCAATTCCGGCACTGCAGACGGGAGAGCGTGGGGGGAAGAGTGTCACAAACAGATCAGCTCCCCAACACGATCGGACGGGAGGGCAGGATGATTCAAGGAGGGGATGGACGAGATGGAAGAGAGGGTGTCTTGAGGGGTAGTCAAGAGGCGAAAGCAAGCGTGGGGAGCCAGCAGGGAGCGCGGGGGGAAGGCGCGAACCCGCTGGCGAGAGGGCTGCCCGGCACTCACCGCGTACAGCAGAATGCGATTCTCCTTGTCCTCCTTGGGGTACAGCATGTTATTACTGCAGGGAGGGGAGGTCAGAGGTCAGCCCTGGAGCCAATCCTCACTGCCTTCCCACACCGGCTGCCCGGGCCTCACCATTCCTGGCAGAAGCGAATACCCACGAAGCCAGGCTCATACGTCCCGTCGGGTTCCATAGCTGCTGAGCTCTCTGCGCTTGCGTGGCCGCGCTACGGACCGCGGGAAGGGTCAGATCGCGTGGCTGCACCAAATTAGGGCGGGGCTGCGCGCACGCGCGGCTTCCTTATCTTACGGGATCTTCCTTATCTTATTCTTATCAAACTGGCTGACAGTTTGCGTCAATCCTTTCGTACCCTCTGGTACTCCCGATTTCGGAACCTTGCTTCCCAACTCCGAGCGGTATGGATCTAGGACAAGGGCTGGGACTATGGTGCGCAACGTCATCCGCAAGGCGCCGAGCGTAAACGAGAGAAGCCGCGGCTCTCTGGTTGGCCCAAGGCCAGTGCACATGCGCCGAGTTTACTCTCGGCGGACCGGGATAACTCCAACCATTCGGCTCCGGCATCGGCCTCCTCCCGCCCGCCTCGCCTGCTTCCCGGGCAGCTATTGGAAGAACCGAGAGCCCCTCTCGGGATTGGTCGGACGTACCCGAGAATCCGCCTGTCCATGGAGAGAGGACGACAGGGATTGGCCGGCCATGTTAGGTGGAGAGCTTCCATTGGTCAGCTCCGGGACAAGGGGCGGGACTTAGATCCCAGAAGGAGCGGCGGCCACTGCGGAGCCGGTGTGAGACGGCTGAACCGGATCGCGGGCCACTACGGGGCGCGGCGAGATGGAGGTGACGGGGATCTCGGCGCCCACCGTGACGGTTTTCATCAGCAGCTCCCTCAACAGTTTCCGTTCGGAGAAGCGATACAGTCGTAGCCTCACCATCGCAGAGTTCAAGGTGTGGCCATGGGGGCGGGGTCCTCGGGGGCGGGGCAAAGAAAGGGGCGTAGGGGCTGAAAACTAGTGGGCAGAGCTCGAGGTAAGGTTGCAGAGACTGGCAACCAGCCTCCCCGGCCTGGGAGCCCCAGAGAACCGAGTCCGCAGAGTAGGGGCGGGACCCGGGGAAAAAAATCAGACGCTCCCGAAAGCCGAGGGGGCGGATCCAGAAGGAACTGGTCCAAGGTGGATCTTTTGGAACGTGGTTGTTGACACAAGTCTGAAGATGAGGCCTCTGACAGCCTTTCTCCTCATCCTGCCTCCTTGCCGCAGTGTAAACTGGAACTGGTGGTGGGCAGCCCTGCTTCCTGCATGGAACTGGAGCTGTACGGAGCTGACGACAAGTTCTACAGCAAGCTGGATCAGGAGGATGCACTGCTGGGCTCCTATCCTGTGGATGATGGCTGCCGTATCCATGTGAGGCCACCCTACCTGGGACCCTGAATACATTCATTAACTTATTTATTCAGCTAACGCTGTGTTTTGACCAGTGTGATAACCAGTATAGGGCCTAGCCTCATGAACCCGCCCCCCCCCCCAGTTCACCTTGGTAAAAAACAGACATTCAGTAGACAGTAACAGTTGTCTGAACTGAGTTAGGGGGAGCCCAGGGGAGTGGTGAAATTCAGAAGAGGTACTAGGCTTTCCGTGGGGATGTCTAAAGAGGCTTTCTTGAGGAATGGATGTTTGAGCTGATATCTAGAGGATATTATGTGGAGAGGAAGAAAGTAAAGAGCTCGAAAGGTTGAGCTGAACTATCATGTGCTGGCTGGATTGGGAACAGCAAGCACACGGAAGACCTCTGTGTGTCAGCTTCTATCGCTCTGCCCTCAGCCCCCCCCCCCCACCTTCCCCACTCAGTCCCTACCCCGCTGTTGCTTCAACGACAGCCTGGGCGAGCTCTGCCTCCATTCCTTTTTCTTTATCTTAACTGAAGGTGTCACCTTCTACCGTGGCATATGGTGGGGCACACCTGTAATCTCAGCATTCGGGAGGAGTTGGGAGGCGAGCCTAAGAGAAGCAGCGGGACTCATTAAAAAAGGGAAAGATAGCGGGGCAGTGGTGGCGCACGCCTTTAATCCCAGCACTTGGGAGGCAGAGGCAGGTGGATTTCTGAGTTCCAGAGTTCGAGGCCAGCCTGGTCTACAGAGTGAGTTCCAGGACAGCCAGGGCTAAAAGGAAAAGATAAGAGCTGGTCATTTGATTTTGTCAACCTGAGTTCAATTTCTGGAACCACATAAAGGATAGAGAGAACAGTTCCAGGGTATCCTTGGACCTACACACACACACACACACACTCAAAATAATGAAAGAGTGGATGTTTAGCCAATATAAGGCCTTTTTCTGTTTGTCAGCACAGAAAAAAAATTACCTTTAAAAGAGTCAATCATTTCTTTTTTTTGGTTTTTTTTTTGTTTTGTTTTGTTTTTTGGAGACAGGGTTTCTCTGTGTAGCCCTGGCTGTCCTGGAACTCACTCTGTAGACCAGGCTGGCCTCAAACTCAGAAATCCGCCTGCCTCTGCCTCCCAAGTGCTGGGATTAAAGGCGTGCATTGCCAAAATGGCTTGGAACTTACTTTCTTTCTTTCTTTCTTTTTTTTTTTTTTTTTGGAACTTACTTTCTTAAGATGAACTCTTAGGGCTGGAGAGATGGCTCAGCGGTTAAGAGCACTGTCTGTTCTTCTAGAGGTCCTGAGTTCAATTCCCAGCAACCACATGTTGGCTCACAACCACCTATAATGGAATCTGATGCCCATGCATGCAGCTGTACATGCAGATAGAGCACTAATATACACACAATAATTTTAGCCGGGCAGTGATGGCGCACGCCTTTAATCCCAGCACTTGGGAGGCAACCCAGGCTACACAGAGAAACCCTGTCTCAAAAAACCAAAACCAAAAAAAAAAAAAGATGAACTCTTGGCACAGTTTTGGCCTGGGTCTGCCTTGACTCCAGAAGTCTGACCCAGAGAACTGGTTCTTTCTCTGTCTTTCATTTATTCTGTTACTGGTTCTTCAAATGCCTGTGTTAGGTATAGTTGGACGCCATGCTGCAGAAGGCCTGGGGTTAGCCCTACCCAGTGTGTGTGGTAGTGTTAGCTAAACGGTCGTAGAACCAGATAGGAAAAATCTGGGGATGAGGGTGGTGCAGGAGAGCTTGGCATCCCTGTGCAGTGAGATCGGCGAGCATTTCCTGGAGTGCTAGCTTTGTGAGCACCTCAAGAAGAGGGTTCGTAGAAGAGGTAGGAGAGGGAATGGTCTGTGAAAATGTTCAAGTGGGAGGCAGCACAGCAAGTGCCGGGAGCTGTTGGCGAAGGACTGGGACCTGGAAGGGCTCTGAGCCAGGAGGGGTCTGCTGTGCCTCAGGTATTCGCTGGCACCCTCAGGATGTGGGTGAGAAGTCAGAGGGCATGTAGAACAGGGGGACCAGAAAGGCTGCCGTGACCCAGGTGATCCTGGTTCTGGAGGTTGGGTTCAGCCCAGGAGCATCACAGGATCCCGACTTGAGCTCTGCAGCTGGTTTCACAGGCATGGGCACATCAGTGGTGTTGATACCAGCGTGTGGCACACATCTGGGGCCGATGCCGTCTCCAAAGGCAAAGATGGGGTGGGAAAGGGAAGTGACCCCTGTCTGTTCCCATGTCTCCCCAACCTGACCCTGGTCCCCGCTGACCTCTCTCCTCTGACCACAGGTCATTGACCACAGTGGCGTCCGGCTTGGAGAATATGAGGACGTGTCCAAAGTGGAGAAATACGAGATCTCACCAGAAGCTTACGAACGGAGGCAGAGTACATGCATGGGCGGGGCTGGGAGGGGCTTGTGAGGCAGACAGAGTGGGCCATCACAGGCTAGGTGGTGGGGACAGGGCTTGGAGGGTAGAAGAGGGTGAGGTGGGGTTGAGGGCGGGCACAGATACTGACTGGGAGAGGAGGGGCCTGGGGGTCAGGCAGGCAGATAGGGGCTTTGAAGGAAGGGGCTTTGAGTAGTCGTGGTAAAAGGGCATTGGACCAGGCAAGGAGGACATGTCCAGGGCAGTGTGGCACTTAGAGCTGGTTATCTGAGGAGCGGTCAGAGTGGGTTGGCCAGAGACTGTGTGGAGACGTAGTACCAAGTGAGGGGCTGGTGGCAGGCAGCATCCCTTCAGTTCTGAATTGCTACAAGATACAAAGAAACGGGGCCAAAGCCATGGTGAGAGGCTTGAGGGTGGCTGGTGATAGCTCGGGCACCCAGAATAGAGTCCCTTCGAGACTGTCAGCCCCTCATGGGAGGAACGTGGTCTGAAGGTCTGGCTTGACCCCGCCCCCCCTCCCACAGACACAGTTCGATCCTTCATGAAACGCAGCAAGTTAGGCCCGTACAATGAAGAGCTCCGGGCCCAGCATGAGGCAGCGGCTGCCCAGCGTCTCAGCGAGGAGAAGGCCCAAGCCAGTGCCATCTCTGTGGGGAGCCGCTGTGAGGTGCGGGCACCTGGCCAGTCCCTTCGCAGGGGCACTGTCATGTATGTAGGTACGTGTCTTTTTGTCACTGTGACTGGAAACTTGATAGAAGTTAAGGGAAGATGACTTTTGGCTCACGGTTCCAGATGTCAGAGCATAGCCATTCCGCTTCGTGCACGTGGGCAGAGCATCATGGAGGAGGTGGTATTCAGCAGAGGAGAGGGCGGGGGCAGGATATCTCACAGACCTTTACCCAAGTCTTCCAGCTCAGGCCTGTTTCCTGTTCTTTCCAGACCTTATGTTTTTAAGACAGTCTATATAGCCATGGCCGACCTCACTAGCTGTGATCCTCCTGCACCTGGGACACAATTGGTGGGATCAAAGGTGTCCCGTCCCAACCCCCCGGCCAGCCCACACCTTAGCCTTATAGGCATGAACTATCCATGTCTCAGCGGGGCTGACCTTTGTTGTTGTTGGATGTGAGTTTGCTAGGTTGCCCTGGGAACATCCCCTGCAGGGAAGCTTAAACATGGCTCTGACCCCTCCAGAGGCTAACCATCTCAGTGTTAAACTGATGGCAGATCTGGTTTATCTGTGGCCACATTGCCACATAAGCCTTTCTCTGTGGCAGTGCGGCAGTGCTGCCCTGCTCTGGGTGGGGTCCTGAATCAATGGGGCAGACGCAGGAAGTGGCTACCATCTCTTGGGGTTTGGGACTTGCCGCACAAATTGAACTCCAATCTCAGTTAGTTTATTGAATACTACAAACCAAGGCTGATCAATCAGGGCCACGGAACAGACTCGGAGCCGAGCCGTGATCGAGTTAAAATCATACAGGGCCTAAAATCCACAAACAACTGTGCCAAGTTAATGAGGACTTAGGGACATGGGACTCCCTTAGGAACATGTCTTTGTTGTGTACTTATCCTGTTCCCAGTGGTTGGGGTACTCAACTGTAGTGGGGGATGTGCCTTGCCTAACATTCATGTCTTAACTTGCCAGTTAGGATGTCAGT